AGCATAATGATGCTTCAAAATTGCTAGGTAGAAATCCATCAACCTATAGCAGTTAAACACAGGCAAGACAAGCACAGTGTCGCCACATGACCAGTGGGCTTTGCAATCTGATCTATTGTTACACATTGTAAATTGTTCAACAGTCTTTTGTAGCCATTTCGTAGCTATTTTTTATTATTTTGTATTATTATTGTTAATATTGAATGTTTGTAATAAATCAAATTTGTTGTGCCATGTAAGTCAATATCTGTGGAACCTTTATTGTCACCGACAATAAAGATTCCACAGACAATGTCCCATTAGGCCACACTCACATCAACCACCATTTGGGATTCAGAGAGCTGGAAGACATTGGTATATTTTATGAATGAAATACAAACTATGCTTTGGTAATTTCACTGTTACTACACTCCACTGGCATTGCACTTCACTCATGTCACTGAAGTACACCTCTTATTCCAGTCATTAGAAGGGATAATAATTTAGGATGGATCATACATTAAATCTCAGGTTATGTATGGATGTCAAGAGTTCATGATGCAATATCATATAAGTGAACGCAGTGACCTTGTAAAGAACTGCAGAGAGGAAGTCAAAGGCGTCAAAATTAAAATATGCATATTCACCTCGGCTTCAGAGAAGGCCTATCACACCATTCATGCCATTGCTCTGCTGAAATGTAGGACTGCAGTCCGTGGATTATACACTGCCATGCGGGCCACCTTTGAAATACTGTTCTTCAAAAAGCAATATGTAAGACGCAATCAATGTTGGGCGAAGCAATAAATATCAGAGGCAAGTGCAAGTAATGGAGTGCACTTGTAGAGGCCGAAAACACAAAACAGCTAAGAGATTTATGGTCTCATAGCTGCTCTCTTTAAAGAATGCACATTTTAATTTTGACAGAGGTAAATCGGACTAAAGATGAGGATAGCAAATATCAAAGGGATTAGCTCAGGTTACAGCTTGTTCAAACCAGGAAGTCTAATTATTTTCTTTGAACAAAACAAGGTCTTCAAACCATGGCCTAAAACAAGCTTAATTTATCTTTCTAAAATGTCTTTGTTTGAATGAATGACACATCCTATACATTTAGTTGGATGAGATAACATGATATAATCAGAAATGCTTTTGGATGAGCAACTGCCAGCAATTATCTCAGAGCGTTGCTTCTCTGTCATGGTTCAACAGCTCTGAATCATGTTATCTTCGCTCATGGCCCATTAAGGTGGAAAATGTTTACAATAAACCAGGAAAGTAAAGTAAGTATAATAGTTTGCGATGAAAAGACAATGGACCAAAGGGAAAAGGTTTCTTTTTTTTTTTTTGCCAGGACTGTGTAGATTGAAAATGCATTGGAGTCTTGTACCACTCTCGAAGTCCACATTCTTGAAATGCTCATTTGTTTTTATGGTGCACACTGTTCAAATCAAATTCAACTCATTTATTGTTAGAGGAATTGTAATGCAATCGATGTTTCCATGCCCAAAACAATGTGCTGCATGGTTTCAAACACTGTTACTTCCTCACATAACCTTGAGGCTAACCGCGTGCTGATCCCTGATAAGTGATAACAGCCGAGCAGTCCCAGCATGTCCCCACAAGAGCACCATGGCTCCTCTGTCACATGGTCTTCATGAGTCTCTGCGGACACACGCATACACACACACAGCAGACATGACCAGGGCTAAAAATAGCTCACATTACTGGACCTGCACTGTCCATGAACTGGCTTCCTCCATTTCACCTGATGCTCAGGGGAAAGGGAAATTGTATTTATTGAACGTATAAAATGTTCATGATGAAAAATGGAAATAGGCTTTCATGGAAATTTGAGAAACTTGTGCAAAATTCCACCAGTCTCTGAAGCTTCTACTAAAGGAGAGCATGCTGGATTAGGCCTAGGTACCGTTTCATGGTTCCAAGTAGAAAAAGCACAGGCAGCTCCATCAAACAGTAGCAAGTAGACAGATACTGATTGCACTTGTCTGTAAATTATATTGGATATATGTGGCTACTAAACAATATTATTTTTAGCACAATGCAACTCAATAAAGCGCTCACTGTCTGTGTAATTAGCACTCCTTCTCACACTTGGTTCATAAATTAAACATCCTGTGAACGCACATCTACGTATTATATTATTTTGGTCACAGTTACAGTGAGGCTGAGACCTGTGCCCAGCACCTTTGCACTGTGAAACTGGGCTAAATAAAACAATATATTTCGTGACCAAAGTGTCTGGTGTCAAGCTTAAAGGTATAGGTGGATTTTCCCTTTTAAGGAGGAAAACGTTGTCTATTAAAACGTGTCTCGCACACCAGAATGATTGAGAATTAGGAGGACTAATATTCTAGATGATCCACCCAGAAGAAGAAAATCCTCCTATATCCTCCCATTAGAATTCCGGCTGACCATGAGATCCTCATATAGACTAGAACCTCAGAGAGACAACTATAACGACCATATGCAAGACAACAAAATGAATGACATGCAACAATAATAATGCATAGAACTACTTATTTTCTCACACTTCAAACAAATAGCTCTGTATCTTAATGTACGGCCATAAAAGTATTTCCTGGGAAGAGATTTTCCCACACTCTGCAGACCATGGTATTTGTGACTCAACCTGTTTCTGTGAGATGTTGGAATACGGTTATTAAATTCAAGACACATTTTAGTATTGTCTCCAGAAAGGTTAAAAGGTCAACGTAAAAAACTTATTACAATACAATTGCAAAAACAGAGCCAATAATTAGCTATCTTCATGAGATAGTAACTGTATCTTTTGTGCTTTGCCATGTATCACTTACTGTGGTACGTATCACTATACATAGAACAAGATATTATCGTGATTTTTGTCACTTTGAAAAAAATGAATAAGCGCTCTGAGATGCTACAGGGGAGCTGAAGTTTACAAAAAAAAATTTGTAAAATAATGTGCATACTGCATTAATTGTAGGAATGAGTCATGAGGAGGCATTACTGTATGTTCATACTTCTAAACCAGGGGTGTCAAACTCATTTTGGTCCGGGGGGCCAAATACAACCTAATTGGATCTCAAGTGGGCCGGACCAGAAGATGCTCTACAAAAATAAGTCCAACTTTTTGTGCACACAAACATATTTATATAAAAGTTCCTTTAAAACACTGTCCTTTAATACTCGCTCAGTTTTTACTGTAAATCTGTTACAAACTTAAATGTAAAAATGAGTGCAAATAATGTAATGTATTTACAATATTACATTGTAAATGGCATTTCACAATATTTATATTAATAAATGTATGTTAGCTTTGTGCAGCCAAGTGTGAAGCGGCTGGGATGAGAATCAGCACTTCCAAATCTGAGGCCATGGTGCTCGACCGGAAAAAGGTGCCTTGCCCTCTGCAGGTGGGTGGAGAGGTCTTCCTCAAGTGGAGGAGTTCAAGTATCTCGGGGTCTTGTTCAATAGTGAGGGAAGGAGGGAGCGTGAGATTGACAGGCGGATCGGTGCAGCGTGCGCAGTGATGCGGTCGCTGTATCGGACCGTTGTGGTAAAGAGGGAGCTGAGCCGAAAGGCAAAGCTCTCGATTTACCGGTCAATCTTCACCTATGGTCATGAGCTTTGGGTAATGACCGAAAGAACGAGATCGTGGATACAAGTGATTTCGCGGATCAAAATGAGCTTCCTCCGCAGAGTGGCTGGGCGCTCCCTTAGAGATAGGGTGAGGAGCTCAGTCACACGGGAGGAGCTCGGAGTAGAGCCGCTGCTACTCCACGTCGAGAGGAAACAGTTGAGGTGGCTCGGGCATCTGTTCCGGATGCCTCCTGGACGCCTCCCTGGGGAGGTGTTCCGGGCACGTCCCACCGGGAGGAGGCCCCGGGGAAGACCCAGGACACGCTGGAGGGACTATGTCTCTCAGCTGGCCTGTTAACGCCTTGGGGTCCCCCCGGACGAGCTGGAGGAAGTGTGTGTGGATAGGGAAGTCTGGGCGTCTCTGCTTAGACTGCTGCCCCCGCAACCCGGCAACGGATGAAGCGGAATGTTAGCTTTGTTTTAAGGCTCATTACAGTGAAAACTTGCTCACAAAGGTAAAGTAGGTAGATAGAAAAAAGCACTTAAACACAGCACCTCAGCTTAACCATCTTCAGTGTGTTAAAGTCCATGATTATGTTATCAGAGAGAAAGTATCAAACTGACCATGATTCAGTTGAAATGAACAAAACAAGCTCCATAACGGTATCCATTCTTAACGACTGCAGTGTCTCTGCGTATTATACAGTCAAATGTCCAAAAATCATCACCTCCATTTGCAACTTTGTCACAACACCTACCTTTACCGTCGGTAACAGGCTGAGAGCGCAGGACCAGTCCACACTGTCCAACAAACCAGCAACAACAGCACCAGCAGCAGCACCAGCAGCAGCGCTCAAAACTCCTCTGTGATAGTTTCAGTAACACCACAAATGAATATGCGGCATCAGTAACATCAGTCTCTTATCAATGGCAACATGATGTTGGTGACAGCGTGTCGTTTCCCAGACCATGTCAGCAGCCATTATGAGAGCTTTAACAAACTCTCTCACTGTGTGGCTGCGATACTAATGCTATGTTGTTAGCACTCAGGTAGCTTGTCTTTACAGCAGCAGCACTAACCTCTTGCTCTTGGCACAAACAGACTGCTTTGTCTTCAGGGCCAGACATGTTTATCTTCTGTCTTCTCAATTCTCCGCTCAAAGTGCCGTGTCGCCGAGTCGCGTACTTTAAGATGTTATTCCTTTTGGAGTGCTCTGGTGGGAGCCAGCTACAGACGCACTCAACACAACTCGCTGCTGAGCGCGGCGCTGTGGCGTCGTGGAGCCTCGCGTCGCGGCGCAGGGCGGATTATTATAATTTTTTTTATTATTATTATCATTTTACATAAATGAGCCGCGGGCCGTGTCAAATCTCTTGGTGGGCCGGATCTGGCCCGCGGGCCGCATGAATGACACCCCTGTTCTAAACACAGCTCTTACCTGTATTGCCATGTGTTGTTGCTATCAGCCGGTGCAGGACTCGAGGCGACACTTTTAACCCCGTGCGCACCTGGTAAAACCTGTGAAGGAAGAAGTAAAAATAAGATATTTGTTGAAATTATGACTCTTAAAATACAATGGCTACATTGATTTTTTTACATTACTTTTAAAGTGCTATTATTATAACTGCAGTTGTCCAGGCAAAAGAAATTTAGATAAAATCAGTACAATTTCATACACAGCTGTGCAAGCATTTTAGCACTTTTCCTAAGTGACTGTTGGCTATTGTCAGGCTCTCCTCTACTACACTTTAATTAAGGTTTATCTCACATCCACCATTCAGGTAGATCAATAAAACATTAGTGTAGGTAAGCTTGAGAAATTAGAAGTAAAGAGAGGTTCATTGTGATGTATGCAAGTCATTTTACAATAGTGTCTTCATCATTAGAATGTGTAATTTATACTATCCTAACAATACAAAAAAAACACTAACAAGTGACTTGAGTAATTGTAATGATTACAACCCACCTCTGCATATTAGTGCAGATGGAGGGATTACTGAGATAAAGCATTTTAGGTCAGTCCACTTGGAAAGAGGAAATCATTTTAGACCAGGCTTCAGGCAAATGAGGTTTAGCCACTAATCTTGTACCAGACGCATCATGACCGGATCAAAATGGTGTTGTTTAGATTGTATGGAATAAGAGTCCAAAAAAGATTGTACTGCTGGCCTCTTGAAGGGAGTCATGAAATAGAATGTATACTGGCAGATTGCAGATGGCAATCCCATCCCATATGTACATAGTATGTGCACTTGGATGACGTTGCAAGGGATAATGGGTACTTGCTGATTTTTCTCTGGAAAAAATCTGTCTGCTAAATGTTTCTTCCCCATTATGTTTAATAGGAAAGACTGCATGGCTCTTAAAGCTGCACTAACTGACTTTGGGATTTTGAAGCCGCGGACTCGCTGGCTTCGCTCTTTCTGCTCCCCTCCCCGCACCCACGAAACTATTGCCCCCCCACACACACCCACTGTTGTTGACGGAGCTAGCGTCTCCCAATATGGATAAACCATGGATATGGATTTGCACGTGGATGGCGTTACCATAGAACGATAGAACCGGGAAGCACGGAGGAACGGGACTTTCTTTTGGATGGCTGTTTCGCTGTGTAAGCAGTAACCGGTGACAAAGACGAGGAAGTTTCAGGTTAGCTCCTCGGCTTGTTGTGCTAACTCGGCCGTCTATGCTAACGGACCTGTAGATTTCTCACAAAAGTGGGGGCTAGTGGTGCGCTGTGATTGGTCACAATCTGCGACCCGAAACACATTCTCTTCCTTGTTTCATCAAAACTCTATCTAAAATATAATGTCACGCCAGCACAAATTTGCGCTACTTTTTCTTCAAAAGGACGTATATCCCAAAGCACTACATGGATATGGATAGCACTTTCGTAATGAATACAAAAATAAAGTCAGTTAGTGCAGCTTTATAAAATAATCATATAAGGACAAATTATAGCCCTGTAAAGCACTTTGAATTTCTTAGGGATAAGAAAAGTAAATGTTGCTAATTCATCCATCCATCCATCTATCCATTTTCTTCCCCTTAATCCATTTCTGGGTCGGGGGGGTGGCAGTCAGAGCTGCACCCAGTACACATAGCACCAGCCCCTCAATGATCCTCCTGCAGGTGGTGAGTCCACAGGAGCTGAGATCTTTCAGTTGGGGCTTTGGGCAAAGTGGGGTTAAGTGTCTTGCCCAAGGACACAACGACAGCAGTCATCAGTGGGAGTCGTGAAAGTAGGTCTTACGGTGGGCTCGAACCCACGACCTTCAGGCCCAATGCCAGTTGCTAATTCAGATTAATATAATTTGAATGGTCCATTACTTTCACAAGTATAAGTTACATCATGTTTGGACTTCATATGTGAAAGATAAAATATAGCTACTGTATAACATTGTTATCAAAACACTAAACACCCATATCGCTCTATTTTCCAATATTGTGCAGCCCTAATCAATATTTTCATGTTATACAGTACCTCATTTTGAATCTCAGAATAGGCAGATTCCAGTCTAAATAGTTTTACAATTTGTGTTGTCGGCCCCTGAACTAATGTGACCCTCTTACTAAAACGATTGGACACCCCTGCACTACACCTATTGACATCAAATCAAGAAAGGGAAAGGCTTTCACTACAGGTGAAAAGTGTAAGGCAAGTTGTTGTTTTCTAAACCAAGGTCTCACAAAAATCAAAGAACAAAAACTTGTGTCCAAAAGTGTGTGGATTTTGATTCAAAATTGATCTTGTGAATTTATATGTATGTTATCTTGTGCTAATTTATGTCAGAAAACTTGCGGAAAGAGACATTTAACAGCCATCAGCGGATAAACATTGAGACATTGAAACATTCAGAGACATGCCTAGTTTCATCCTCTAAATTACACAATAGTACTTTTGGCTGGCTGTAAATATGCCTGCTCATTCATTATCCAACTCAATTTCACTGAGATATCACTGAAGTAAACACGATTACGTTTTATTAAGATGCAAATTGTATAGTAGCAATGTAATTACAAGAAAATTTGAAAAGTGCCTTATGAACACTACCATCTGTAACTACTTGAAGGTTATCCTGCCTCTTTTGTGCAGGCAAAGAAAAACTTTCAAAACCATTACTTAATCTCCTGTTTTGAAACTTTGAAACTGCCTCGTCAAAGAGCTATTTTTCAAACAAGCCGAGAGTTCTTTCAGGTGCGACAATAGGCCTAATTACTGTACAAAAAATGAAAAATGCACAAAGAACATATTTGTTTTAATTTAGGGTAAATAGGACATTGTATTGTACCCTTTTTAAACATCCTATATACATTTCATTTTATTGGGAGGCAGAAATAGTATAGATGTGTATCATTATTTTTATGCAATGTTCTATTGCGCGGGAACACCTTAAAACAAGTCCACTAAATATCTTGTTTAGAACAGATTCTCTTACTGGAGGCCTTTCTCTTACCAATGTTATCTTAAATATTTGTCAAGCTGGTGATGAATAGCAACTCGAATGCAGAATAAGTTAGAAGTATGGAAATAGATTAACAAACACGGCTCAGTTTTGTCAATTGTTTCACTGATTTTACATTAAACCAGGCGTTCATGGTAGAAAAGTAGTCTTCCTAGATACATATTCTCAAATAGTCATTAAAGGCACACCGCGGACTTTGTGACCTAAAGAGTTGACACATATGAGTTATTTTATATGAATACTTGGGCCAATATACAGCGCTTGACACTTGCAATGCTCCGAGCGGGGCTGCCCTCTTGAAATACCGCCCATGTAAGTTTCGAGCAGACGGACCGTCTGCCACCAGGTCACGTGACTTGGAAGAAACACTTGCTTTACGGCTACAGGCACTGATATACTCATGGAGCTAAGGCTTTTGCTACTCATTTTTCACCTGCTCGACTCCTGGTCATGGCTGAGGCAAGGAAAAATTTTAAACCTTCGGAGGAGGCTAAAAAGAGGAAACGCGAAAGGGATCGTGCTGTAAGCTGCATGTCTGTATGAGCGCTGCTCTTCACCTGGTTCCTGGATGTCATCGACTGCAAAGATGTCATTCCACGCAGCACGAGCTAGACGCAGAACTCCCTCATCCAGGATATAGAAGTCCATGTGTGGTAGATTACTAATGCAGCGGTCTGGAGGCTGACCACAGCAGAGTCTCTCAATATCTGTAGGCATGTCTCTACAGTTTGAACACACACACCAGTGCATGCTGTCTGAATACACACTAAAAAGACACCGGCTGACTGTTGACTTTTGCGACAGTGCTGAGTTGCTTGTGGCCACTAGGGGCGCTAAACGTGAAAGTTGCAGGTCTAGCGCCCCTAGTGGCCAAGAGTTACACGGTGTGCCTTTAAGTCTCAGTCTTAAGCTCACCGCACACCGAAACGCAGCGCCTCGCGGCGCGTCATTTGACGCGCGTTCATGACATGTGTCAAATTACACCGGAACGCCTTGGCTAGCGTCCTTTTCCAGCTGATCGCAGATGAAATGGGTGAGTGACGTTTGGAAGTTTCTACTAATATTTTGGGGGAGGAAACAAAGTATTTACGTGAAATTATGCTGGCAAATATTACAAGAAAAGACTATTTGGACCCATTTTTTAAACAGGCTAATAACTAGCTCTGGGTAACGCTGTACTTGGGTTATCAAGCTTTCCTCGTCCATTGTGACCGGTTTACTTGAGCAATAGCGCCGACAAGTGTGTAAATTTGAGACCGCGCTCACAGCTACGTGATAAGAAGCGCAGAAGAAGAAAACTACGGGTGCTTGGAGGGACAGTTTCAGCCGCGGCGCCGCGTCTGGATTCAACAAAACTGAATCGTGGCGCCCGGTCCAGCGTCGCCGCGCGTCACTGCAACCTTGGTGTGCGTTCTCTCATAGAAAATAAAGGAGGCGGCTCTTTTGCCGCGCGTCAAGGCGTTTCGGTGTGCGTTGGGCTTTATACTTTATCCAAGTAACTACTTCTAATGTCACTCTCTAATGACCCAAAAACATATTAATTGATTGTAATCACATACCATAGTTTCAAGTTTTTCTGTAGTAAAATGTCTAAAACAGGCAGACTTTTGTATACTGCAAAACTTATACTTTTTTTTGTTAGCCCTAAACTCAACCCTGAGAAACTGGTTTACTGTTGGGGTTTTCCTTCCTCTCACCTTTAACCAGAGCTTATCTGCTGTCCAAGGATGACCAAGGCCACCAAATAAACAAGGATGTAGGCCGTGTGACTTGCTGACAGAGCCAATACAACCCGCAAAAAAAACAGCACTTACGCTCAATTGCCACACATACCTGCCCCTGATCCAGACTCGAGTGGAATCATACAAATTAGGCCCAGCCCAACACGTCAGGCTCAAGATTTTTTGCTATATTCTACTCTACACCAAATATGAGCATTTCCAGAGATTTTATACTCTTTTGTTTGATGCTAGAGTTAGAGATTTTTTTTTACTTAGTATAGTTGTTGTTAATTTATATTATGCTGTGTGCTCTTCATTCCTACTGTTCTGTAATGCTCTCTGCATCTGAATTAGTGTTACATACATTGAGAAAAGAGCAATTTAAATCGATGTGCTGATTGTTGTGGGCATAGGTTGCGAGAATATGGTACCAGATTCAGAAGTGTAATGGAAACGCAACCAAGCAAGTCGAGCTGGTGGCAACAGGGCTTCATAAAATAGAGGGGGAGGAAGCTGAAACTCTACTTGGGGACCTAAGCAGGAAAAAGCAAAAATCAAGTATGAAAAGACAATGGGACAGCCGTACAGTGGTTCAAAGACAATAGATAAGTAACTTCTCGACATCGCTGATCCATAAATTGGCCTGGCAGCTTCATGCGCTGCCTCCGTGGAGATGAAGTTTAATGTTCTACCACAAAAGTTACCTAGAGAACCTAGAAAAATATTTGTTAAACTCTCACTACGCCTCATCATCTCATTAGTAAAAACAAATATATCAACACATATTTACTTACCCTCTTTGGAACAGATCCACATTGTGAAATTTGTGCAGCTCCACTGAAAACTCCACTGTTCCCTGTACTTCAGACATGATCCACTCGCACACATCACCTGTGGTAAGATGAGAGAGGACAGACGGTCACATTGACATATCACACACATACGCACACACATACACGCGCAAACAAACAGGGCAGAAATGAGGATGACTCAGCCCACATTAAACCACCATCTAGGACAGCACGGTTCCTGCCACCCAGGCAGGTGAGATGTTTAGAAATGTTTCGGAAATTATTATTTAAAAACTTACTGTGAATATTGAAGTGAGTCACAAAATCAAATAGTAAGCTGTTACACATATAACGTATTACTAAAATGCAGATGTTTAATCACTAATATTGTCTACAATAACGCAGCTAAATTAGCTTTCTTTTCCTTTGCAATGAGTCAAATTATAGGTAAATGTCTGAATAGCTGTATAACTGACCTTAATAATGCTACACAGTCTAACATGTGATAACTTCTGTAAGACATGTGTTGTGTGAGTAATCATGTGGAATCAAAAATGATATGTATTAAAGCTATCACGATATGTACTGTATGTTTTTAATTATTATTAGAACAGGCAATAGGCAAATATATGTCAATAATGCTGGTGATATAATGGTTACAAAAATAGTGATAATACTAATAACTGGTATTACAGTGAAGCTATATTTATTAACAGAGAAAAAAACACCAAAACAATGAGTTTGTTTTTCACAATAATATATAACAAAGTCTATGTCTATTGTAAGTGAAGACAACAGTAAAAAGTACTGTGTTTGACGCTACTTTTTACTAAAATATCTTTTATCTATATAATAGATCAAAAGTAGCACGCATATAAACATGATAAGTTTCTAGTATCGTGCATCACTAATAAATAGTATAATTTGATCTTTGATCTGTTTGCATCTACAATAGTTGCCCCCTAATTAGTTCCATTCCAGCATATGGTAAGTGAGACTGTTTTATCTCTCAAAAGAAACAAAAATACCTAATAATTAATGCTAACATGCTAATGTATACTTGAAAATCCAACAGAAAACCATGGAGACGACCTCATAATATTAACGTGGATGAAAACATTTATTATTCAAGACTTTTAAATTACAATATGGATGAAAATGGAGGAAATTATAAGGCAAAAGCTCTTTTGGCTGATTTTAATAGCTATATGAGCGTTGTGCTTGCAGTGTATAATTACCCTGTCTAACTAATTACCCTGATCTCCCAACAGATACTGTAAAAGCAACACACCAATAACCAACCTTTACACTCACTATAATGAGATACACAAAAGTAATATGTATGTTTCAGAGGCTTTTATGCAAAGTTGGATTGGTTTAGTTTTTCCCCTAAGAAATATTAAGATGTCAATATTTCTAAATCCTCACACAGGTCATCGTTACCTCCTACTTACACAATAAAATCACTGACAACTATGACTTGAGGGTCAAAGAAGAAGCCAAATTTGGTAGAACATATCAAAACATCCAGTCTAAAAACTGTTTTTTTTTTTTTTTAACCTACCGTTTTTAGTTGTGTCCAATTGATCAATGAATTTTAGGTTGTATTCAACCAATCTATATTGGCACCAAATTATGACCAACCTTGTTGGCTGACCACCACCAATCATTCATTCACGAATCACAACTGATCAGATTCATACTCTGCAATGTGGGCAAAGTGTCTTGCCTAAGGACACAACGACCGTCCAAACCGACCCACGGTGACACCTGGTCTTCTCAGAGGTCTCCCGTCACAGAACCAACCTGGCCCTGCGCTGATTAGATTCTGAAGTCTGACGGGATCAGGCTTGATCATGCAGGTTTTCCCACAATAGACATGAAGCCAAGGCGGATGTTCAGCCTGGAAGAGCTCAGCTCACTGTGCTCAAGTCCACGGGCTCCGTTAGCGGCAAAGGAGATGGCCAAACTAGGCTAAAGGCTAACAACTCACTCTGGCGCATTACATACGTGACGGTAAACTCAGTTCCAATCGTTTCAATCTGCAAAAGGAGTTAACCCCTCCCACCTGTTAACGGAGCTAAAAGGAGCACATCCAGACCTTAGTATGAAATGTAATTTGTACTATGGTGTGGTACGACCAAGCTACAAAAATACCAAAACTGTCATCAATATTTGATTGAATAAAGTTAATGCAAAGACGGGACAAAATTGACTTTCCTCAATTGGTTGAAAATTATTTACAAATGCATGAATAAAATTGAGTAAATAATAATAAACCCTGTGGTATGGCTTCAGATTTTGATGAAATGCCTTGGATTACATGCGTCTCAACCATTGATGCAGACAACATACAGATTTCTGCCATTAATTGTCACCAAATGCAGTCTTTCTGATGTACTGCGTCCATTTAGTTGTTTATTCTATTGCGATACATTAATCACAGCATTTTTTATTTTCAACAATGCACAATGCAGCATACAGTATACTGAATGCAACTGGTGGCACATTTTGCAGGCAGATTATTGTTACACCTTTGGATGAAAGTGGGAAGTGTTTAACTGATTAATTCCCAAAACCTACACACCACACTTGAACAAAGTAATATTAAATTGTCCATGATCAACAAAAATCTGATCAGTTTTTGCACAAGCGCATAATGTTATACTGCAAGAGCTACTGTAATCTATACTGTTGTATTTTTGCGTCAAAAAGAAAGGGAAAAAAACATGCTCACACATGTGAACCCAACTCAAAAAAGGATGAATAAAGACTTAGTACTTGGTGAAACTTTTTAATGGGTAAAGAGCATATGCTTGTTTAGGGAGCTGTACCAAGGCTTTCCAGACCATGAAGACCACGACAGTGTGCATAATGAGCCCTGTAATGTACTGGCAGCCGGCTGGACCAACATGCCACAACCATTTTTACTCTTCCTCGGCCTGATGCGCTTTGCTGTCTTCCTTGTTTTCAGCATCACATAAACAGATACTACATAGTGGTCATGACATAGCCACCATCGCAATGTCACACATTGTTATTCAAAGTAAAGTAATCTCATATGGTACAGAACAATGAAATAAATTAAGATATTCATACAATATAATATACTTGATGAACCACAAAACCAGTCAGAATGCTGCCATTGACTGCTCAGCCAAACAGGGAGAAAGAAGAGCGACGGACATTGTGTACTTTTAATACAACCTCTTCTTATACTCGTCATAAAAATCTCCTGGCAACCGAGAGAACACATCCACTGATTAACCTGCCTCGGCACAACCTTATCAATAAGAAAATCAAATGCTCAGAGGAACAGGCCCATGCTGGTAACTTCAAGGACGTTCTTCTGTCATTTGTTTGATAGGATACATTGTTAAGCAATAAATCATTAGTAACAGACTCTCTGCATGAAGCATAGGCCGTACATTCATATTCCATTTGTAGCCATGTGCAAAAAAGGCAGTCCACTTGACAACCCTTTGCATAGCATTAGTTACACCATGTAAGCATTAACTTACATGTGTTCTGACTATGGATTGAACTAAAATTAATTTCCCAATTCGCATGCTTTAAACACACTAATGGGCCACAAGGGAAATGGAACAGGCTGCCGTATTTTAAAAACCATGAAATATAATTACAATAATTAGCTCAACCAAAGTAGCAAAACTGCGATCTGAATCTAAGACAATTTCTATACACTGAATCGGCTTCCCACAATTGTTCCTTACATTTTTCGTACATCTCTTTCTTGTATTTATTTTTGTTATTGATTTTAGCAGTCGTCTATCTCCTAAAAAGTGTCAGGGCTCCACCTTTTGTCTGTTTCACTTTGCCTTTCTGAAAAAAAACCTTAGCATTAAATCATTTATGGAGCCATGAAAAACAAGGTTAACTCACTTGAAAATATATAAAATAATGCAAGTAAAAACACATTTGAAAGTGAATTCATTCCATTTTTTGGCGACAGTGCCAGGGTGTTTGATCAAAATGTTGCAACATAAAATTCATAAATGACGGCATGTGACATTGAATAGCTATCCATCTTACTGTCACCACTGCACATAAAGTATCCTGTATATCTCGGTACAGTCCCAGCGGCCCATAATGCAAAAGGAAAATTACTGTTGGAGAATGTATGGATCCAGTGAAAGGAAAGTAAGACTGAAATAAAAAGGGTTATCTGTTGTAGTAAAAATAACCTGTCAAATATAGGGTTGTCCAAAGACATTGTAAAATGACCAGTATTTTAGTATTCCTTGGTTTATTTGCCACGATTATTTCCAAACGTTGATGATAATGGAATATAGTCCATTTAGTTTACAGTAAGCATTAGCAAGAATATAGTTAAAAAATGTTAAGCTTCAGTGATAATCAGAACTTTACATAAACTGTGTAAAAGACTTAGGTTTATGATTTATTTTTCTCATGGCCTTAAAATAAAGTTAATATTATTTGACTAAATAATTCAGAAATCCCTCCATTGAGCTAATGGAAATACTTGAGTTAAAAACAACCTAAAATACCTATCTATTTTGCTGGATTCCACGTGAATTGACACATGAAACCTAGGCACTTATTTAAAACTGCTTTCTTTAAACTGGATATATCAAAATTATAACACTTTTGGGGGCCATAAGGTTCTACTGATATAGTTTAAATTGTATCAAGAAATGGTTCTCAAGAAATGTAAAATGTCCTTCTTTTTAGTATTGATACTTGCTCAAATTAGTAGTTTTGATACAAGTTTTAGTTTTCAATAAATGTGATACTTTCAAAAACTTTTAACAAAATGCTAAAACACTAATTTCCACGCGCTTGCACCAAAAAAATTTGTACAACTCTTTGCCCCATGCTCACAGTTTGCTGCTTGCTTGTGCATTTTCACTTCACTGCACCACTTTTCTAATTTTCTTCTTGCAGCGATTTGTTAAACCCTAATCATTACAAAACAGCCATCTGTCGCCCAGTAAGTTACTTTGTCAAGCCGTCATGCTGGACCAGAGTTATTCCTCCAGTCGACCCGCTGGCCTGTCCTGCTCTGCTCCCGTGGCATCAGCTCACAGGGGAATAAGGA